CTAACATGATCTCATTAACATTTGCAATAGCTGGTTCTTTACTGGTCTGACCAGATTTAGGTAGCATGATTATTGTATGGTTTGATTTATCTGCATTGATTGTCTAGTATAGCTGCACTGAAGCTTGCCTGCCTGAAACTTAGTGAAGGCTTTAACTACGCTTCTTTCAAATGTTTCCCAGAGCAGAGTTTCATTTGTTTATATGCTATATGCACTCAGAAATCTATCTGTCTTGCCATGTGTATTGGCTAGGGATTACTAGGACTGGAGGAATGAGCTTTGGACTCTCATAGAGGGCAGAGTATATACCACGTTTCCCTCAGCTGACTTGAAAAGCTCAGTCTTTTGAACCAGTTCAAGACTCCGAACCATGAACAAACCTTAAAAGTTGCTGTTTGACAACTGGAATGGAATACCTTTTGCTTATTGTACTTAAGTTTATTAACTTATTTTAGTTTTTTTGTAATGAACATAGAAAATGTTTGTTTTTTGCACTATTACCTATGCCTTCCATGATCTAGCCTGAGGAAGATAGTAAGAAACTTAGTGAGATGTAATAATGTAGAAATAAATCTGACAGCAAGCCCCCCCCTCCCCTCGCTTTCCCTGCCGGTCCTGTATAAAGTGTTTATGAATGTGACCTGATGCTGCTGCTTGCTGTAGTATGTTTAGTATGAAACTTTTATACTGGTCAGTTCAATCTAGGAAAGGATTGCTGATTCTTTACCTTATTGAAGAATGATGAAACATTTTTAAGTTTCTCTTAAGAAATGTGGAAGGGATCTACAGCATGTGAAAAAGTACGATGATTCAGATTGACCATGTTCTGTTGTTTTATTAATAGCAACAAAGTAGTAAACATTCTTAAACAATTGTTTAAAACTGAACAAAAGCTCTTTGATGTACTTATTAAGGGGAAAAAGGCTGAAGGTCAAGAATTTGTAGCTAATGTTAAACAAAAGTTTCAATGTGCCAGCAATTTGGAGCATGGTGATTCAAGATACAAAAATACAGGCAGTCCAGAAATAATAAATTGTGCTGCCATCCTGAACATAGGTCCTGCGACCATAATCTATCCTTCTCTTGTGGGTATTGAACTTCTGCAAATTGTTACAGAAAAAAATGTCTTCCTCATTCTCTAAAGAAAGAATAACTGTGTCTTTTGTTTGATAGGATAACGTCGGACAAGCTTTCCATTCTATTTTGGGTACAGGATAGGGATGTAAATATCATTTAAAAAATATTTCTTTAACCTCTTCTAATTATATCAGTTAAACGATTGACCGATAACACAGCAGCCCAGACACAGCTGCTGCCAGGAGCTGGAGCCCTTTGGCTGGGGGTAGGGGTGGAGGAAGCAAGACCAGGCAGACAACACAGCCCAGATGAAGCCCTGTGCTGAGGGAGGGAACACCTGTGTACCAGCAACTAATTTCTTAATTGATGTCATTAGGCTGCCCACTGTTTTCCTCTTAGGCTATGGGGTTTAGTTCCCCTCTCCTCTGCCCCTCCCCTTCCCTCCTCCTCACTCTTCTCTCCCTCTGGGCCACCCTGCTGCCTTCTGATTCCTGCTAGGGCACCACAGCATGGCTTTTCTTCCCCACTTCCATGGCAGACTGCACCCACCTGGAGCTAATGGATAACCAGTAAGCTGAATGGTTATCACTGCACTTATCAGTGTTAAATGATTAATCCTTTAACCTTTCACATCCCTAGTATAGAAAGATCTTGGGTACATCTTATATTTGGCTTGAAGAGTTGTGGAGTCCCTAACGTGTATATATAATATAATGGTGAACGGGCATAATTGTTTTTTTGTATCTGTGTTAGCAGAGGTGCTAACAACAGTGAGAGACTGAGGAAGAATGAGTGGGGATGGTCAGATCACTTGGCTGGCAGCAAAGTTTTAGGAAAACTGAATGCAGTGGTTAATATGTGATGTCTGGTCTTTGTCTTGAGGCAAAAGGAGGTTTCAGGTCTCTAAAACTCTGAGTGGAGAGAAGGTTGTGGTTACACTTAAGTTTATTGAGCTTTTTCCAGTATTCGTGGTGATCTCTGACTTAAATGTGAAACAATTGGAAAGAATGGAAAGGGGGCTATGACTGTATTTGCATATTAAACACATTTTCTGTACTTCAGAACTTTGGTTTAACTCTGATACCAAATTTCTCATCTTTCAGCTATTGTTTGATGTTGTGAAAAGATGACATTCAATATTTACTTTACTTTATAAATTTATAAATCTTCCATGTCTAGAATCTGATTGCTGGGTAGTCATCTTAAATTCAGAGTCATCTTAGATTCAGTAACTATGGCAATACATTTGTAATTAACCAAACTTACGGTTTAGGAACAGCATTGACTATTGGCTTTTATATAGAAAATGGACTGACTGGTTCATTCCAAATAAATTACAGTACCTGTATACCATTTATATTTATTTACACTGTTATTTTTTTCAGATATTTAATGTTTTGGATTTTTGATCATACATAATATTTTTAAGAAAGGAAGGTACTTTGTTTATAATTTCATTCCTACCCATGTCACACTGATACCTTTTTTAATTATTAAAAAAATTAAATGCATATTTTTAGGTGCGTGACTCCTTAATGAACCGTTGGGTTGGAAAATAACTAGTTGTATCATTAGATAGAGATATTGCTATTATTTGCATGAGATAGTGGAGATGAATAATTTAGCAAATGTTATTAGCACAGGCAGCATATTACTACATTCACAGCAGGATGTAATGAAATTTCTGTCATGTGCTAGTATGAAGAAAGTATGCCTTCCATAGGCATTCTTGAACTTTTGACATCTCTTATAGTATTAACTATTATGTTACCATGCAGATCTTACTTGTCTCTGCATTAAATGAATGTTTTGTTTGAAAAGCTTTACTTAATTTAAGACTGTGAAAGGCTCGGTAAGCCAAATACAGCTGTTTACTCTGAGCATCTGTTGCCACGTCAGAAAAAAAAAAATTCTGGGTATAGCTGCCACATTATTCTTAAATTACTTAATGTCTTTTTAAAGCCATTTATGGAGAGAGGCTGTGACTGATAGATAATTTTCTAAGCAGAGCTGTTGGTGTAGTAGGAGGCAACAAATCTGCTTGGTTTACATTTGAGTTCAGCTTGAAACCAAGTTCACTGAAACATCTTAAGTTTATTTCAGTTGTCATTGTTTATTTCTTGGTTTTTCCCCTTCAGGTTGCTTTTTATGTTTGTCGTCTTTAAATGTGACATTTTAAAAAATAATTATTCATGAATGGTCATATCTATGCTTGCATTTATTATCAAAGGAGAGACTCTTGCGTTTTACTGACATTACTGATGTTGTTAACCTTGGCTAATATTTGCATTTTTTTTTTTTAAGCAGTTGCTTCTTTCCAGCTGTCTCAGAGATTGGTTGTCCTTATTTTCCACTTGTGGATCATATCTGCATAATTCTGGAGTAGGCAACATGTTTGTTGCTCTCAGGCATTTTCCTTTATTTCTTGACATCAACTTTTGTGATCTTGCTTGCAACTTTTTAGTTTTATGTGCGAGTAAGCCCTACCATTCATGCTGTATAAATCCTTATGCAGAGGACATGGAGGTGGTAGTTTAGCTGACACCTGCATACAGCACAGATATTTTACTTATGTTTCATTCCCTGTTGGCCTCGGGGAATGAGTTTGTATCAGTGTTGCACACTGTCACACTTGCCCTTGCACTGGCTGGTGGAAATCTTTAGTGTGTGTTTTCTTTCAGACTGATGCTACAAGAATGAATTTGACTCAGACTTTGCTCTACAATTTTTAAGCTTTTAAGATATATAAGATCAATTATTTAAAAACTGAATTTTGATGGGAGTTTATAGAAATGCATAAATAATTCTAAACCCTGCCGTGTTTCTGGATGACACGTTCCAGCATTGTGCTAGTGCTTGAGAACATGAAAACAGAACTGTTTAGTTCATTTTCACTGAATACACTTAAGAAAAACTAGGAGTGATTTGTAAATGTGATTTTAAAACATTCTTTTTAGTGAGATTTTACCTGTGTGTCCATCCTATTGATGGACAAATGATTGCTCTTCTTTTCTTTTCAAGATATTGAAAGATTTACAAGATATTCTTTGTGAAGAACAACAAAATGAGGGACTTCTGTTTAAAACTGACTGTATTTCTGTGTTTCATTTGAAGGTCATTCTGTGAGACTCTTGGGTCAGAAAAAGGATAATGGAAAACGGTTGGGGGGAGCGCGATTGGATTTGCCAAAGATTAGGAAGAACCCGCTGATAGAAATCATTTCCATCAATACAGGGTAAGAATCTTCCAAACTTCCTTATAAAATATTCATAATTGCCTAGGAATCTAATTTCAGTTTTCTCCAGACCTGGTGCATGGTTGCTTCAGGTCATATAGAAAGGGAAAGGAAGACCATTTTTAAGCTCTTAAAGAATTTTGGATGGTATTTGTGCTGGAAAAGAATTCCTCAATTACTTACTGGTATGTATATATTTCATTAGCTTTTCTTTTTGGAAGAACCGTGCCTAAATATATTGAATTAGTTGGAACGTCTAAGTATAATTTTACTTAGAGGTTTCCTTTACCACCAAGAAGTACATATTTTTAGCAAAAATATGGTTTGTTTTATAGGAATGAAACCTCTTGCCCTTGTTCAGGTTCCAAGGGTGGGGAGGGGAGTACATTGGTGCGGTTGCAACCCCCTTTAGATCACAGCGATCCTTTTTGGATCACAGGAGCATCACCTGATGACCTGGAGTCCTGGAAGCAGGTAAAAATCCCCCCGTGGTACCCTTTCTCTTGCCATTCCTGTGTGCAGGGGCACCCCCCCATCCCTTCTAGTCCCCCCTCTATCACCTATTGCTGTTGCTGTCTGTCTGGCCTAGGGAAAGGAGTAGCTCCAGAGCTAATGCTGCCCTGCTCCAGTCAAGCTGCTGGGAGCTGAGCCCTGTAGGGACAGTGGTGGCTGCAGCAGGCAGGTTCTTCCTCCTTGCCCAGTCCCCTCTCTGGTGTTCCTTGACAGCCTGGGAGCTGTGAAGTAGGGGTAGCAGCCACCCCTGCAGTGCCAATCACTGCTCCTCCAGCCCCCTCTTTAAAATCCTAGATCTGCCCATGTTCTTGTCCTCATTTTAATGTGGTCTTCAAGTACTGTATTGTATTGGATGTATAGCCCTTCTACTGCAGCTGAAAATGCATTGTAAGAGGCTGTACAGGAGACCTGATTTTTCAATGGAAGAAAGTAGTTTATTTTATATAATTTTAAAAGAACTCTTGTGGAAAACTCTTGTAGACAAGAATCTATATTAAAGTGTAGGCTTGCCACTGACACCTACAAGAATTGCATGCGCTTACCTGAGTGCAGTATTTTTCCCTTAATGACTCTCAAGTTCTATATTGACAGTTGTTTGGTGTCATTCTTATGTGAATATACAGCTATTAAAAATAACCATCGTATCTTAGTGCATTGAAACACTGCACATGGAACCCAGACTGGGAAAAATAGGATGAGTCAGACCAGGTTTCATCTGAAGTATTGAATTTCTTATTTTCTGTCAATATTTGTTAGAATCCTTACTAGCAATAGAGCAATCTAGCTGCAGTTAAAGTTACAAGCTGATACTGCTGTAATCCCATTTTCACATGCTCCTGACGCATAAGAATGACCTGCAGGTGGTAGAATAGGTTGCCATTTTCAGTCCTAGATTACTTTTAGGATGATTGCCAAATTTGCTAAAGTGATTACAATCTAGATATTGTGAGATAACGATTGCTAGTTAACTGACTAGGTTGGCTATCTTTCCCCACAGAGTTTTTATTCTGGATATGTACTCACCTGTTCAATTTTGTTCTAATACAAAAAGCTTTCAGAAGGGATGATATTAGGCATTTAACAGCTGTCTGGGACTGTTTTAGAAAGAAGAGATTTTTCTTGTTCTTTGTTTCCTTCCCACTCTTTAGCAAATAGGTGCCAATTTATAAAATACTCATTGTCATGAACAGTTCCTAGTGGACGTACATGATCATAAGAACATTGTACTGAACAGTAAAGTAGACTGTAAACTTACAGTATGATGAGCACTCTTTAGTAAATGCCTGCGTGCATGCTTTTTACCCCCTGGTAACTATAAAAAAGTTTAACCCCCCCCCTAAAAATGGAGTCAGCTGCCTTGCATTTACTGTAATGGCAGTTTGGCCCTGTAAGGATTTGTTGAGCAGAAGCAGGGGGTAGCCAGTCCTGGCAGGTGAGGGACCCAATGATAATGGCAGGTCCCACCTGGGAGGTTGGAGGGACGAGGGAGGAAGGAGAAGCAGACTGTGAAGAAAGAGCTCTGCTGCAGGTAGAGACCTAGAGTGACAGCAGCCCTAGGCAGGAGGAGATGGCCGACTTATGAGTATAGTTCTTTTATATTTTGAAGATAAATTTAGCTGAAGAGGCAGTAAATGGACCCAGAGTGTGGCTGAGAGCTGCAGCTTAAGCGGACAAGACAGAGCTAAGCTTCCAACACCTTACCTTGTAGTAAAGTTCGTGTGCCCATGCCCTTATTACTTAGGCTTTGCTACACTGGGCTACGTCCCGTGGCAGACAGCTGTCAGAGCACGTGCATATCTCTGTGGCTTCTAGCATCTCCAGATTCATAGATGTTAAGGTTGGAAGGGACCTCAGTAGGTCATTGAGTCTGACCCCCTGCCCTGGGCAGGAAAGAGTGCTGTGGTCAGACGACCCCAGCTAGGTGCTTGTCCATTCTCTTCTTGAAGACCCCCAAGGTAGGGGAGAGCACCACCTCCCTTGGAAGCCCATTCCAGATTCTGGCAACCCTCACTGCGAAGAAGTTCTTCCTGATGTCCAACCTAAATCTGCTCTCCATCAATCTGTGGCCATTGTTCCTAGATACTCCAGGGGGTGCCCTTGTAAACAGAGTATCTCCTATTCCCTGCTGGCCTCCCCTGATGAATTTACAGGCAGCCACAAGATCCTCTATCAGACTTCTCTTGAGAAGGCTGAAGAGATCCAGGTCCCTCAGTTTCTCCTCCTTTCCACTTCATCACTAGGGATCCTAGTTTTACTTTCTGAGGGGAAAATGCAGAATCTTCATTTTTTCCATGACATACTGAAAGTACATCGGTGTCCCACGGCAAGCAGCCCCATTTCTGTTGCATTTATTTTTGCTGTGGGTTTTGCCTCTTGGCAAATCAGCACCTCCCTCCCGCCTCCCCTTCCACCTCACTAATTAGATGAGGGGCAAAATCTGCACCAAAAATAAGAGAGCAGAAATTGTGCCGCTTGCTGCAGGACACTGCTGCACTTTTGGTAGGTCATGGAAAAATGTGGATTTTTGTATTTTATTTTTTTTAACTGAGATTTTCTACCTTTTTCCCTGTGGGGAAAACTAGAATCCCTGCTCATTACCTGTGCCAGCAGAGCATAAAATGTGCCTTAGCTGGGTGCAGCTGTTAAGCAGGCCACTGCAGCCACCAGAAGATACAGGCATATCTATACAAACGTTGTGCCCACTGCTGGATGGAGATAGAAGCCTTTTTTTCCCCCTCCAAGTGCTAGTGTTGCTCTGTAGAAAGAGAGAGAAGGCATTTTGGTGCCATAGGGGAGCTGTGTGTGCTGACATACTCGGCAACCTGCCACCATAACTGTGTATTGCTAGACCAGACTCTCATTTCATTAACCAAATCTAAGTAAAGATCATGCTGATAAGAACATCCACACACACATGCTGTTACAGTGTGCGCACCCAATTTATTGCAAATAAAGTTTGACCTAATTTGATGCATTTGAAGGCAAAAGCAAATAAACCCTCTGTATAAAATTACAAATATTACCAAGGTCATTTCCGCGCAGAGTTGGTTGGAAAATGTTATATTGCACAATCATGATAACCAGTGTCTCTTGAGCTGCAAGTTATTGCTTTTGCTTGGTTTTTTACTTGTCTTTCCACTATATATGACTTTTTAATATTTGCCACCAGTTTCAAGGTTAAAAAGTAGTTTTCTGAAGGCAGCGCTCAGCAGGTTTCTCAGAATGTAAACATATAATCAATGAAGTATGGAGCACAATATATCACTCTGTTATGATTTGACTGTGTTCATTTTATCAGCCTAGCTTTAGAAGGCCATTTGAGAGGATTTTTACTATCAGTACCTTTATTTGAACTGACCTCATTCCTCAGAAGTAGTATTGGAAAAATCTGAAGTTTAGGTTTTTTTGGTTCACTACACTCTAAGTTTTTAAATTGGTCTCAACTATATTGTAAAAGGTCTTTTAGTAGTTAAAAATGTCTCTTACTGAAAATTTGTGATCTTATTTACTGGAAGGCTCTTTGGAAATGCTTTATTTTGGTGTCATGTTACTGTTTAGTAACTCTCAGCTCTTTCTATGCTCAGTAGGGGAAAGATCACCTTGTTTAGCATCTATTTTTTTCTATGTCGAGGATGGCAGACTTCAAGTATATATCCCACAGCTCAAAAATGTATCCAAAATAAACTTCAATCCTGCATCTTCTGTGAAGAAACATGATCTACCTTCAAAAGAGGGCTTCAGTAAAACTAGTATTTTTGATGATTCAGCTAACCCATTAACTGAGAAGAAAATCTGAGGGTATAATGCACACAGTGCTCATTTGCCAGAACTCTTCCTACCACCGGTACCAATTTCTCCTCAGTTGGTACTTAACCTATGCTTTGGCTAAAAACCCAGAGGTAGAAACAGTGTAAAACCATGTGCTGCAAAACTAGATAAGCCCTCTTCCTTCCACAACCTTCCTGTTTCAAAGACAGAACAGTGTTAAAGTCTCATTAGGAGTTTTGACACTAGCTGGGAGCTCTGGCTTATGGCTTGTAGTGGCCACATTTGAAAAGACAGTTCTGAACAGTTTTGTCCATAGGAAGCAAGAAGACTTTCTTCCTGTTTCCTCTACTTTACGTCAACCTATACACACCAATACTACAGACAGAAGCCTAGGAGAAAAGTAGGGTGTTTGAATATAAACTACTTGTGCACCTTTGGTTTCTCCACTAGATGAACCCCATCGTGCCTGTCCAGCCACAGATTTCCCTGCCTCTTCTCTTTAATTCTTTACATATAACAGAGAAGTTGTCAGATTGGGGTTCTCTGGGTGTGGAGCATCTTGTAAGTCCTTTCATAGCACATCTCCTTTTGCTAAGCTGTCTCATCCTTTCAATAGTGCTGGATTTTGTTCCAAAGGCCTTTTTTCTAACATTGCTTCTAGAAAAAGTAGCTTTATGCATTGTTTCCATTTCTCTCTCAGCAGGTCTTATTATTTCCTT